ATTAAAAGTAGTAAGACAAACTTATCTTTCCAGTGCTGATGCCGCACACTCTCCTATTGCAGTCTTTGATCTTGAAATTAGCTAATAATTAATCAAATGCAGGAGTCAGCTACGGAATTGTGTCACCAGCAGTGCAGAGCTTGCTCAGGCCTGTTGTCGCTCTATCCTGACGAATGACAGAATTGGTCCGTTTAGAAACTTTGCTGTGTGAAAGCGAACCGCACCAAGAACCTGTTGTCGCTCTATCCTGACGAATGACAGCTGTGACAGCTAGTGGAATCCCGGAAAATAAACCGTGGAACTTTGACCAATGAGACAACAGTTTACTCGCGCGTGACTTGTTTTAACAAATTTGGTCCGTTTAGAAACTTTGCTGTGTGAAAGCGAACCGCACCAAGAACAAAAATCAACATTGTAATACTTTTAATTCCCGTTTCGGAACAAATCAATTGATCTACAGGTGTGAAAGCACCCGAAGACAACGGCCTGGTGTCAAGAAGGGCAGCTGAACAGAAGCCACTTCTCTCCAAGAAAAATGTCAAGGACAGACTGAAATTCTGCAGGAAGTACAAGGATGGACAGCAGAAGACTGGTGCAAAGTTATTTTCTCTGATGAAGCTCCCTTCCGACTGTTTGGGACATCTGGAAAATCGATTGTTCAGAGAAGAAAAGGAGAACGCTACCATGAGTCCTGTGTTGTGCCAACAGTGAAGCATTCTGAGACCATCCATGTGTGGGGTTGCTTTTAACCAAGGGAGTGGGCTCTCTCATAATTCTGCCCAAAAACACTGCCTTGATTAAGGAATGGTACCAAAGCGTCCTGCAAGAGCTACTTCTTCCAACAATCCATGAGCAATTTGGTGATGATCCATGCATTTTCCAGCACAAAGCAAGAGTGATGAAGAAGTGGCTCGGAGATTATTACATTAAAAATTTTTTTACTACAGAACCTGTGGTCAGTCCTCAAAAGGCGAGTGGACAAGCAGAAGCCCACAAATTGTGATCAACTCCGAGAACTAATAAGGCAAGAATGGATCGCCATCAGTCAGGATTTGGTCCAGAAGCTAATATCCAGCATGCCAGAGCCAATTGCAGAGGTTATGAAGAACAAGGGTCAACACTGTAAATATTGACTCATTATATATATTTTTTGCCAATAAAAGCCTTTAAAACTTATGATATGCTTATGTTTTTCAGTATACCATAGAAACGTGGAAAAATAATCTCCGAATACTGAAGCAGCAAACTTTGCAAAACACAAAATTTATGCCACTGCCAAAATTTTGGTCATGACTGTACAGATTCATTGGTAAAAAATGTAGCAGATAATAACTAACACATGATGTAAAGTAAATTGTAACGAGACCAATCAGTTTTAAGCACTGAATATTAAAAGAGCCTGCCACAGAGTAGCCTACACTCACCTGGAGTTTGAACTGTTCCAGTAGACCGCGTGTCTGTCTGAGATGATCCGGTCGTCCGACCATACGGAGACCCAACACACTACCGTAAAAACCACCAGCGGCAACTCCATTTGAGTTGTTATACTAGTCCTCACCTCCAAACGAAAATTCACGGTCGTTTATTTCAGTGGCAAATTTTCAAATACCTGCTTGCTTGAGTGAATGTATATACGCAGTTTTGTACATCATAACAAGACATGTAATCCAGAGCGATGTTCATTCCTTCCGAGCGAATGAGCCGCTTACTTCATAAAACTGCATACATTTGATGTTCTTTTTAGGGAAAAATCCATTACAATTGTTTCTTATGCTGCAGAAGGTCTCCAATGCGGTCCACGGTAATTTTCTAGCGCTCTGTCAGAAATCCGTCCATCATCTAAACGCGGGACAGTGTGATGCGCTTCTCGAGCCTCCTACAGTGATGCTCCCCGTTTGCAGCGCTGCAACTTCCAGATACCTCTACCCCATGTGGTCTTCACGAGAAGCACACATGTAACACATCCCCGTCTGTAACGCACGCCTTTCTGATTCGCGTTTCCTCAGCGCTCCATCTTATTCGCACAAGTTGCGTGTTAGTTGTTGGCGGAATCGTGCTGTTTCAGGCTCGCTCCAGTTGATAAGCAGATATCCTACGCACATCTCAAGCCGTTTGCACGAGTCCTCTCTGTCCTGTAGGAACAAAGGCAATTTTGCCCCATTCTGCCTTAGGCATCTCTGCTATTGCTCACTCTTTGGATCAGCTTTGCGGATCTGCTAAATGCTTAGCTTCGATTGACTAAATCGTGTAAGCTTTCCAAGGCATCTAACTCGCGCACTTCGTAATTCATCGGTTCATCCTAAATCTGATTCGTGGGCGACAGTTATCATCAGCGGTGTACCTTCAGGAGGGGGCGGGGCCTACACGAGCTCTCTTCAAACTCACCTCTGCAATTTACTTTGTCATCTCAAGATTACTCATATGCGTCTTTAAATTGCTTTCTTGAGCATGTTAGCGCCTTCTTTTTACAGCAGTTATCAACTGTTGCCCACAATAACATTTAAAATCCCTCATTTGTGCAGGCTATCTGGTACATCAGCTTTGAAGCTGCTTGTTTTCAAACTTTTTTTATTAACAAAAACAAGATTTTAAAAAAAGTCACCACATTTCTGTGAAGGATAGGTTCAATAAATACAACATAAGAAATGGCAATTTATATGTCGTACATTTTCATTATTGCTCGCTCTCATTTTAAGTAAAGTAAAAGTTCACCCAAAAATGAAGAAATTGCTGAAAACGTACTCATCCTCAGGCCTTTCAAAATGAGTTTTTTCTTCATCAGAATTATTTGGAGAAACGTAGCATTATATCACTTGCTCACCAATCTTCTGCAGTGAATGGGTGCCGTCAGAATGAGAGTCCAAACTGCTGATAAAAACATTACAATAATCAACAAATAGTCCACATGACGCCAGTCCATCAATTAATGTCTTGTGATGTGAAAAAAAATGTTTGTAACAAACAAATCCATAAAGGCAACTTTAAACCATTGCTTCTGGCCAAAATATGACTCCGTAATCCATAATAATACTTCCTCCAGTGTTATCCTCTCGCATCAAAATCTACCAACATATTTGTTTAGAACTGGTTTGGAATTGATCTATGCATATTTCTCTCCTGATTCAGAAAAGTTGGCTTGCTTTTTAACAAGAGCAAGAAATAATATGGATAAAGGACTTGTCTTTTAGCCAGAAGCAGCAGTTTGAAGTTAAAAACATCTTGATGGTTTTGTTTATTACATCCTTTTGCGTCACAAGATTTGAATTGATGGGCTGGAGTTCTGATGGCACCCATTCGCTACAGAAGATCCGTTGGTGGTTAAGTAGTGTAATCCAAAGAAACATTTATCTTGGATAGCCTCAGAGTAAATTTTCAGCACGTTTTCTTTTTCCTTTGTTATATAATTTCTATATATTTATAAATAAGTAATCCTTCAGTTTCCTTGAAAGTTTGCTGGGAGAACCACTGCTCTATTCATATTTAAATGGATCAAAAAAATTCAATGAACTACATTTCCCTTTGCTTAACTACCTTACCAATTTACTGAAATGTCAAGCAGCAAATAGCATTGGTGGCAAATTATTTAAATATCTGAAAAACCGAGTCTGGTATAGGGCTAGTAGATAGCTTTCTCAATAATATGGATTGGCTCCTCTTTAAATGAGCTGCTTTACCTGATCCAATAAAGAAATTCTCTCAACCGCGAAAAATGGCTGGCCCAATGCCATGCCTCTCAATTCTATGAATGCAGCAAAACTATGTTTTTCCTATGATTCGGTACCATTTAGGTTCCCAGTATATATTATATGTGTGTAGACAGACAGACAGGAGTGCTGGGTAGTAACTGATTACATATACTCTGGATTATGTAATCAGATTCCAAAAATGAAGTACTTGTAAATAGAGTAGAGTATATTACATTTTAAAATGTACACAATTCTCATGCTCTAATGCAGGGTGGTCCTAACTTGGTCCTGGAGGGCTGGTGTCCTGCAGAGTTTAGTTCCAACTTGCTTCAACACACCTGACTGGAAGTTCCTATGCCTAGTAAGAGCTTGATTAGCTGGTTCAGGTGTGTTTAATGAGGGCTGGAGCTAAACTCTGCAGGACACCGGCCCTCCAGGACCGAGTTTGGACAGCCCTGCTCTAATATAAATAACGTTTAATGCACGTTGATGACAAAGCATGGAATGTTTTCTTTTATAAATATGGTACACAATTAAATTCAAGTGTGTGATAAATGGGTTAGATCAAAAGTAATCTAAAAGCAATCAAAAAGTAGTCAGACTACATTACTTAATGTAATCCATATGTCACAAACTAGTTTTTGTAATGTAATTTTTTTTTATCAGTAATGGACCACAATTTGCAAGTAATCAACCCAGCACTGCACTCTACACATATATATTTTTTTATTTTTTTTTGGACCCACTCAACGTCCTGTCTGTTACGGTTCTGATGCCTCAATGATCTTAATCAGGTGGACATCTGAATTTTGGACCGGAATTTATTTGCATATGAAATCCATTTGCATATTTTGTTTATCATTTTGATTGCAGGGATGTGCAGCAGTGACATACCAAGGATTCTGACCCTGAGAAAAGCAGGCAATACTTTTAGAAAATGAGGAAGAGATAGGCAGACTGGCAAGAAAAAGTGATTTATAAAATAAGAATGATAGCCAGACTATTTTATCAGAACACACAGCCCATGTGAGCGAGTCTAGTCCCGTGACCTCAAGGGGAGCAGATTTATGATTAAACAGATTTGGTGTGGATTTATTCATTGGATGTTGGCTAAATTTTAACTCAACATATTCCAAGTCCTAACCTTTGATCTTCCCTTTCCTTCAACAAATTTAAATCTCAACTATTCAAAATCTTACATTTACCACCTGAACTAGGTATGTAGGTACTTAAATTTTCCCCAAAGGCTCTTGTAGATTCACAAACAGATTAACTTTGTTGTTGGCAATACAATCTTAAACCCTCCAACATGTTGCAGTGTGCTTATAATCCTGACAAAAGGTACATAAGCTTTGAGCACTTGACAAAAGACTTTTTAAAACATTTTACAAGCTCCTCTATAATAATAACAAAGACACTTAAAAACATTTTCCACAAGTATCAAAGCCCAAAAGGCACTGAAATGAAGGACCCCAGTTTCGAATTTTAAGCAAGTGCGCCACCTGCTGTTCAAGGATCTCCATATAACAATTAAGAGATCTTCATATTTTATACAAAATAAAATGCACTTGTATTAGTCCCGCTATACACTTTCCACTTTAAAAGTGCATATGGCTCCAGCTTAGTGTATCCAAACATGAAAAGGCTGTTTAACTATGGTAATAAGGTACAAAAACACTTAAAATGGCAGAGAAAAAAAACGTTTACATTAGCAATGCAGCATTATGTAAAAAAAATAAAAATAAATACATTTGTCATATTTCAGTCAAGACTGTGTACTGCATCTTCATATATACACACTTTCTTTTGAATATCCCAGTCCTAAAAAAAAAAAACAATACAATCTTAAACCCTCCAACATGTTGCAGTGTGCTTATAATCCTGACAAAAGGTACATAAGCTTTGAGCACTTGACAAAAGACTTTTTAAAACATTTTACAAGCTCCTCTATAATAATAACAAAGACACTTAAAAACATTTTCCACAAGTATCAAAGCCCAAAAGGCACTGAAATGAAGGACCCCAGTTTCGAATTTTAAGCAAGTGCGCCACCTGCTGTTCAAGGATCTCCATATAACAATTAAGAGATCTTCATATTTTATACAAAATAAAATGCACTTGTATTAGTCCCGCTATACACTTTCCACTTTAAAAGTGCATATGGCTCCAGCTTAGTGTATCCAAACATGAAAAGGCTGTTTTAACTATGGTAATAAGGTACAAAAACACTTAAAATGGCAGAGAAAAAAAACGTTTACATTAGCAATGCAGCATTATGTAAAAAATAAATAAATAAATTTGTCATATTTCAGTCAAGACTGTGTACTGCATCTTCATATATACACACTTTCTTTTGAATATCCCAGTCCTAAAAAAAAAAAAGTTCTAACTGAGCAACGTGAAGCTGTTACTCAATTCTAATAGTTTCACATTTAAAGCAAATTCATACACAGATTTCTCATTCTGTATCGGCAAACAGATGGTGAGAAACTAGTTAGTGAAGCCAATGAGTCGGAGGTCTCTCCAAAATATAGGAAGGTCGAAAAGAGAGGTTGTTAACCAGATGACTGATAGGAGCATACAGATGTAGAACGTGCAAAGGTCAGGATGTTTAATAACTTCAGAAATTAAGAGACAAAAGAGTAAAAGCAAGAAACAGAAAGATTTATTGAAGACAGAAAAAGTATGAGCATCTATATCAAAAGAAGGTTAAGCTCTCAAGAGGGCAATTACATTTTCAGACACAATGTGTTGGAATCTCTTTTAATATTGTGTAATAAAAAAAAAAAGGCTCTACACTGAGCTGAATGTCTGCTATAACCTTATCAAAATATACATGTTTGACGCAGAAATTACATTGATTTTCAATTACTTGTACAAAACTAATTATATACAGTAGCCCTCACCCACTCCGTTTCTCAACATTACATCCATACTGGGAAAAACAAGGAAGTTTAACTAACGCAATAGAAAGGAGCTCTGTTGCTACTTTAAGACTTTTGTTTGGTTCTGTTCTCAGATAACAGAAATAATAATTTGATACATACTTAAGGCCAAAAAAGCCTGCAATGTCTTCTCTAATTTGTAATAATTTCTTTTAAGATCTTGTTGCATTCTGTAAACAAAGGCAATAATATACACATACGCCTTCAATTTTTTTCCGCCTTCTGCCCACTGAAATCAAAGCGGTTGATAAAACAATGTCGCTGCACAGTAAAGATACAAGATATCAAAAACAGGCTCGCAAAACAGGGAAGATGCTTTGGTCCATTATGCTACTCTTCAGGAAAAAAAATAAAAAAAAACAGAAAAAAAACAAATTAATACCCACCCATACAAGCTTAACACCTCCAACACACCAATATTCTGCTAAATTGCAAAGGATAAAATAAACTAAGAATTTCCCCCCATAGTACAAGTTGAAAAGTAAAAGGGAATGTCTGCGCATCAAGACTCATGCCACAATAAACATGAAATGGATGCATCAGAAAGAACAAGGCCTTAATATTTCCCCCCACACAAAGAAGTGCTATAAACAGTCTGAAGTCTTATCACAGGTGTTGCGGTTCACACAAAACGTCACACAGGAGATTAAGACTCTGCAATGCTAATATTCTTTAACACAAAAGGCAAGTGACAGAAATGGACACAGTAGAAACATGCGCTCTGGAAGGTCCAAATTAACGGTTTACAAGTTCATTATAACTCGTGAACTTTACTTCCTTTGCCACACTAAACATATAACCAAAATGATGTAAAGCAGTTGCAAGCGGTTTTGTAATCAACAAAACTTTCAATAAGCAACAGGGAAAAGTGTGTGTGTGTGTGGGGGGGGGGGGGGGGGGGTCTAGACCCAGAGAGTGCAGCAAGCCAATGCCCAAAAAGATGATACAGTATACAAATGCGTGAGACTTATATGGAATGAAACTAAAGAATATAGAATATCTTAGAAAATGGTAAATAAGGAGTAGGAATCACATATATAGAATAACTATATGCAAAATAAGCTGTGACAGTCAGGTACAAAACCAAAGCCTGTAAGGAACTCTGAACTAGTTGATGCCTTTCACAGGAAAACATTCCTGCTCTTTCACTAGTCAAATTTAAACAGACCACCTGGGAACATCAGGCAGTCTTTTGTGTGTATGAGGTTAATGGTTCCTGCAAAGAAGCCAAAAACATCAAGACATTACTAAGGCCATTAAGAAGATATACTTTAAGCACCATGTAAGGCACAGTTGCTTTTTTTGGAAAGGCAAATAGGAAATATCTTCGAAAAAGTTAATTATAGGTTCAAACAAACAAAACAAGGCTTTGCGTGCGCAACCTGAAAGGGCGCGGCTTTCCGCAGAGGCACAAGTGTAAACTATGCAGCATCTATGATCCAAAACTGATGTGTGCCAATGATCAACTAAATCATGACAAACTGTCTGAGAAAAGGTACTATCAAAACCCAAGTCATGTTGGGTTTAAAGTGGAATTACAAATAGACATACATATTTGAATATAGATATAATAAAGGAATGATGAAGTGTGTGTTGTGGAAAACATTTGTCCACCGTGATATAAATTGTGGAAGGCTTAAAGTTTGGTCTAAAGTGACAGTCCTTTCACCTTCTCTAAAACAAAAGCCTCCATCAGATGGTGGACTTGGAGAAAGACACTCTGAGGTGATGGTTCTCTCCCAGGTCGTGATTGTGAAATTTGATCAGAGACTCGATTGCTTCCTCCACAGAGCCCAACTGGATAAGAGCCATTTTTCGGTCTTTTCTGAAAGAATTGACAACATTTTAAGACTTAGACTTCCAGGAAATATCATGGCAACATCTGTAGAACTCAAATTTGTAGAATGTCTTACTGGAAAAACTTGAAGGCCTTAACCACAGCTCCTGAACTTAGAAACAAGTCTCTGAGATGATCCTCAGTGACAGAAGGTCTGCAAAGAGAAGACATTGGTGTTAAATAAGTCAATGCTAAAGACTACCAAACAGATTGAAGTTTAGTGGACTCACGGTATATTGGAAAGATGGAGAGTCGAGGAAGGAGGGAAGATGTTGGAGTAGTTCTTGGAGCCTGGCTTTTTGAAACGGTGAAGAGGAGAGCTGCTGTAGTCCTTGGTGAGCCCCTGATCCTCATGGCCTTCACGTGGCAGCTGCACAGTGGTGTGTTTGGAGAGAGTGGCCCGCAAAGCCTTACCATACAGTTTCTGCCCATTCAAGTGGCTCATGGCTAAAAAGGACAAGACAGGTTAGTGTTGCAGAATCAAGCTTCTTAGAAAAATTCAAGTTACTAAAAGTTAAAATATGAAGAGCATTATGAATACCTAGCTGGGCTTGGGTTCCATCAGACATCTGCACCAAAGCATTCTCTTTCTTGTTGAATAGGATCTTCACTCTCATGACATCACCATACACGCCTACAAAAAATAACGATAGCTACGTGAGGACCTGATTACTTTGAGCGGATAATTGATTACAACCAAAAACTACTTTTCACTTTAGTATCTAGAAATTAAGTAATTTTATGGTTAAGTAAGGCATGCAATACTGTTGGTAAGAGACTATTTCTATTTTGGCCAACCTCTACCTAAACAAAATTCTATTAAAACAAACACAGATCGACACTTTTGGAAAGATGTACTCCAAAAGAAATCTTGAATGGTTTTAATACTACGCTTGGGACTGGGGGGAAATTTGTACTTTAACTCTGATGATTGACAAAATATAAGAATCAAACGTACAGCTTTCTAAAGATAAAATGTAATATTCAATGTGCCTTTATTGAGAGGGCATGGCATTCATATAATAGGTAAAAAGCTGCTTTAAACTGGATACCACAGCAAGTTGGCCAAGGATTAGTTCACACTAAGCAACTAATATGAACATGATCTCACATGATGTATAGCTGTTGGCAATAGATATTTAGCATCTGCCAAATGAAGGAGCCTAAAAAGCTCCAGCTGATATGCCATTTCCTCTAAAACCCCACATATACAAACCAAAGTACACATCTTAGATGAAGCTAAAATATGAAACAAAAAGGTAATAAAAAAGGAGATACCAATGATAACATACCGAAAAGAATAAAGAGGCATTGGGGCGTAACGCTCTTAAGACAGCAGAGGAAGGCAGCGTAGGGAGGAAGGGACAGGAAAAGATCGGAGGCAGGACAGTGGAGGTTGAACATGTCCACAGCGAGGCAGTTCCACAGGAATGGCGAAAAACGGTGGTAGGATCATGAAGGTGGGTGATATTGTTCATGATGGAAAGGTGGGGGAAGGGTAGAGGTAAAGGAGGAGGATATCCGACAACAGTGATGGTGGGTTGGGGATGTTGTTGTGTGTTGGTTGTACAGCAGATAAACAAATTGTATATGTATCCAATATTTGCGTGAATTGGGACCCATATTGTTTGAGTTGGTAGGGAGTTTAACATTAACAAACATTATAAAAAAAGTGGTGCAATCAGTCGGCAAAAGATTCCAGGTCGAGGTATTAAAATAATAAAAATGGGGAAGGGGAATGGGGAGGGAGAGAAACAAGAAAAAGTTAAAAAAAAAAAAAAAACAAGGTCAGTATACACAAAGAAAAATTTAGTGTTCCATTCAGCAGAACTTGCTAAATTAAATACATTTTACTATAGGAACACTAAGAAAATAAAAGAAAGGAGAGAAGATTAACAATGAAATACAGGAAAGATAGAGACTACATATACTCATAGCTCTAAAGAAACACTAGAAACGAAAATGTTTTAGATGGCTTCAGACAAGAATCAACAAATATTAAGAAACGGTTGACATGCATGTTTGTATAATAGCAAACGAGCCTCCACACTGTCATAAACGCACAGTACATGATTTGAAGAGCTCCAGAATTATTTTGTTAATCACTAGATGCCATCTAATTATTTCCCACCAACACCTTCTTTTCTCCATTTTAGTCTATCAACTATACAGTTCTAACCAAAATCATGTCTGGCTTACTGAAACATAAACCAGAGCCTAATGAACTAACAGCTAAGCGAATTTAAACTACTCAAAAAAGGGACTAACCTCAGGGTTAAGGTTGCTGACCAGCAGGACACTGTTTCCTCCAGCAGCGAGACCAGAAAGACTCAGGCGTCCTGCTGCAGCAGCAGCCGCGGCGGCACCGTGGACACCGAGCGATGCAAGAGCCCCGGCAGGCATACCCTGCAGAGACAGACCTGTGGGAGGGACACCCGTCATTATACCGCATGTATAATACGCTGAGAAACTGTGCCACTGCAATCCATTATAAAGGCTGTGACCGACCTGCTGCCTGCTGAATGGCAAATGTTGGTGGGAAACCATGAGCCCCAGCATATGGTGATGCAGAGATAATACCAGGAGCAGCTGAGAGAGGGGAGAAAATTTTAAATAAATTTGCAGTTTGTGATTTTATGCGTGAAAACACCATTTATTAAAAATACAGCAATATAGTAGATTAAGGTTTACTCAAGGCAGCTGCAGCCATCGTCTGTGCATTGAGGGCGGGATGACTGTCTCCTGTAGGTAAGTCAGGGCGAGTGTAGTCTCTGCTCTTATCGTTGTTGTACTTAACATTCAAGCTGGTGAGCTTAGAGAAACTGATGCGAAGGGTACAGCAGGCATTGTAGATGTTCTGTCCATCTAAAGACTGTTGAACGTGAAGCCAAATGATTACAGGGTTCAGAAGGGATTTAGCTGCCCAATCATCCATTAAGATATTGATCCACTGTGCCACTTACAAGTTTTGCATGCTGAGAAGTCATTCCGTCTGAGTACTGGACCAGTGCTTGGAACTGGTTGTTTTTGGTAAAGGTAATAATCTTCAAAACTGTCCCAAACTTTGAGAAGATCTAAGTAGGGGGGATTAAAACAAATTTAGCATTTTGAAGAGCGTTTTGATATTTCCCCCTCAATTTAGTTTGAAGTAGTGGTTAAACGTATCGTAGTTGATCCGTACGGACCAAGCCCCACGGTTCAGCACGCATGTGATCCATGTGAATTGCAAAATGTAACCATAATAGAGTATAAGTTTATAATTTGTTCGTATTTACACAAGCAAATTTGAATCAATTCCAGAGAGAAAAGGCGAAATGGAACTCGAGTCGTTACTCGCGCACAGCCGCACACACACATTTCAGATGGTTCCACTTCAGATTCAACACCGAACTGAAGCCTCTGAACAGACACATACAATTATGACATAATACCTATCTTGACAATCATTCAGGTAAACGCAGTCAGTTACGTCTCAAGTGAATGAAAACAGTTGAGAAAGAAAACGGATGTGATGTGTATCATTATATCGGATCCGTGCATCAGGTCTTAAAGGGACAGCGGCCTATAAATACTGTTGCCGTCATGAATGATCATCAAACAACAAAACAGCTGTGATAAAAATCTATATTTAATTTATACCGTGAACACTATGCAGTGTTATTTTCCCTAATTACTACATCTCTGTATTTGAATACTACCAACCTTATTTTATTTGTAACATATTCTGTTGTATTTATCAATGCTTGTAATTTGTGTATTTGTTCTTATGATTAAAGAGACAAGAGAACATCCATTAAAATTTTTAAACTTTAGTTAACCTAGTAGTATTTGCTGTGGTATCGAAGTACTTCGCTTTAAGTAATAAATGGAAAGCAAGTTAAATTGAAATATTTTTCTTTTCTTGCTGATCCGAAAAATTATCCGATCCATGGGTTAAAAAAACTGTAATGTTATCTTAACCGTGAGATTTGTGATCCGTTGAACCACTAGTTTGAAGGGGAGTTAGCACCTGGTGAAGAACATCAAGAGTAACTGGGTAGAAGAGGTTTTCAACAATGACTCTCAGTACAGGGCTTTGGCTGCCCATGCCTGCTCCATCAACAGTGCTCAAAGACATGCTTCCTGTCTGGACCGCATTGACTGCCTGCAGTGCTGCCTGTGCTCTCTATGGGAACGGAGGGGGCAGAGAACA